TTTTATTTTATTATCTGGGTCGCACCCAAACACCACTACCTAGACTGCCTACTTACCCCTTGTGAGGGATCAGACAAGTCGTAGTTCTTAAAAAGGATACAAATTTGATTATATATTTTAGTTGCTTAAGGTTTCCTCCAGTTGCTTAATGATTAAGAAAAGATCTCCTAATCATATCAGGAGTTGCCCTTATCCAAATATAAATTTGAATTAGGACTCTTCTTAATCCTATCTACAGATTAGATAAGCGTTTGGTCTCGTCCTAATCTCAGATCTACCCCTTGTTAATGACAGATCAAATCAGCCTAGTTCGAAATGGGCTTTAGGCCCAATAAGAATCAAGTGCTCAAAAGTCTTCCAAACTGTTGCCTAGCTGGGTTTCTTTGTATGGCGTGGGACCTAAGCATTGATCTACACACCAGCAATATGGGTTCATCCCAGCCTCTGTTACAAGGCCTAGCCGAATTCACTAGAGGGCCCATTGAACCCCCTGAGCCCATCACATGGACCCTATGGGCCCAACACTTACACTAAGTGGTCCCTGGGCCAAGCCATCTTACAAAAACCCTGGGACTGTGGGCAGGTGCAAGATTAGCCCATCAGGTATTATCCCAAATGGCCTTACACTTAACCTCTCAACCCATAATGATCAAGCACTGCCCAACAAGAGAGGACCTCTCCCTCGGCTGCAAGGAACAGTGTTGCACTCTCTACTTGCATGGATCCCGGGAATTAAAACCATTTGAAAATATTTTGAAACCATACTTAGATATATATCAAATATATAAGTTTTGCAAAATAAAATTCCAACGATTGAAATCAACTGTTGGCAGTTTGGTTTCCATCAGAGAGAGTGCATCCCCAATCATTACCTTTGTCCGACAAAGGGGTTGATTCCGTCACTATGATCACCCACTCAGATGAATTCTCAGACTGTCCCAACATACCCGGGTTTTGACCCCCGCTAAGGATCTCGCTGATTGGCATATCAAAGACAACCCAATCCGACACCTAGTGCAGTACCATAATCGGGTCTAGGGGTCAAGTGTAACTTTCCAGTTTTGCACATCAATCTCCAAGGTCCAGGGTAATACTAGAAATCTGGTCTGGTTCAAGGGTTCAAGTAATCCTACACTGCATATGCCTTGGGTCTCACCTTAGCGGCTGAAACAAGCCACCCCAACAGTTGGCAGCACACCAGTGTCAGCCTTGGCAGGACAAATCTCCCTAGACTTATCCAACGGCTGTGAACATTTAAAACCAACACAAGTCTCATTAGGTGTCCAATTTTACGGTCTTTCACACAGAAGTATACCACACAACATGAATCAAACATGTACTTCATTTATTTACAATAAATATCAAAAGTACATCAAAACTGATTGAAGCTAAGGGCATACAAAAACTGTCCAACATTTATTTCAATTAGTGGATCTATGGATGCTAGGTGGATTTTCTCATGCCTAATTCCCCATTCGATGTGCGCACCAACCTCTTGCAATTGATGAAAGTCTTGGAAAGATCATCCTATCAATAATGAATAGAAAGGTTCTCTAAGTGATTTGATGAAAATCATAATAACATCATCCTTTGGAAAGGGATCCTTCACTTTGATAGACATGGTCTTCCATCATTTCAAATACATGGAGAAGTTTTCATCTAGTCCTTGAGTAAAGTTCTCTAGATCATACCGTGTCGGTGATGAGTGGAAATGAAAACTCTTGATAAATTGTTTTGCAAATTTGCTCCATGTCCTTTAAGTGTCTAGGTTAATCTGGGTATACCAATCCAAAGTGGCTCCTTTAAGTGTCTAGGTTAATAAAGAAGGATGTGAGCTCTGGGGCAACTAGATCCGTCATATTTGTGGAATTTTGGAATTTTAACCTTTTCAGGAATGTCAAGGTTGGAGTGAGGGCACAAAGCACTAAACTCAATTATCTCTTCTTATTGGAATGCTTGTATGTCCTTCATGTCTTCCTTCATCTTAGCCAACTCTTCTTGGTAAAGCACAATTGACAACACTTGCTCAATGGGACTTTGATGAGAGACTTACTCCATTACAGTGCTAAAAGAGTTCTATCATTAATTAAATGTGTTTGATTGGTGTTGTGCCACTTTGTTCTATTCTATTGGAGCTAGGCTAGGCTAAACATTTTAAAGTTGGTTGTCTCAAGGGCCTATTGAAGGGATGAGAGATCCATCGTATGGACGCCCAAATCTTGTGGAATGAAGGGGGCGAATTTCAAAAATTTTTCTCTCCCTTCAACTGGGAATTGCATTCCCTATTTAGAAAATTATATTTTCAATGATCATTCTTGAACCATAAACTGAACCAGATCTGAACCAAAAGGAGTAAGAGAGGATTATACCTGATACGGAGAAATAGTATCCCCCAACGAAGGTGTTCACGCCCAAGGAAGGATCCAAATACTGCTCCCACTGAAAATGGCGTAGTGCAGGATGGAGCAGAATCAGCAGTATTCTTCTCCATGAATTATGTCCTTCGCAAGAAACAACAGAATGGCACGTGAGCACAGCTTCCTATCAATTCTTTCTCAAAGAACTGATGTCAAGATCGAATCTTGACTTCTCCCACAACTGGAGATCGAACTGGCAAACAGGGCGGCAAGAACAAGGAGGT